CATCCCCAACCAATCAGCAGCTCCCATTCCCTAGCCCCCTGCCTATCAAACTATCCTTGAAAAACCCTAGTCTCTGAACTTTTGGGGAGGCTGAGTAATAATAGCACTCCGATCTCCTGCACAGCCAGCTCTGCATGAATTAAACTTCTCTGTTGCAATTCCCCTGTCTTGATAAATTGGCTTTACCTGGGCATTGGGCAAAATAAATGCATTGGGTGGTTACACTATGGACCAAGCATAGACTCTCCAGGATGAATGCTGCAGAGGCTGTGGTGAGAGTCCTGTGGTCTCATGCAGTTGGGACACTGTCTGTATTTCAGTCTCATCCCTGAATGCTCTGGCTCTCCTCCCTCCTTAGGAACATGCTTTCTCTCCGGGTGGAATCCCAGTCACCATTCAGGTACCAACTCTGCAAAGTTGGTTCTGCAGGCTCCTTCTTCCCATCAGAATGTCCCCTGCTGTGTATTGTTTTGCATTGCTACTTATTCTGCTTTGCATTAGACTTACAATAAATTTAGTAGCTACTGCATATGCAATGCCTACTACTAGGCCTCTGTGGTGCTCTGCGGACTCCTGGCTGCCAGTATGTGGCTCTCTGTGCCTTGGGGCTTTTTTTGAACCATGGAACTTACTCTGTTCCCACTTGCTGAAAGCCCACCCCTCACATACAGCTGGCAAAGACTGATGGAGTGGGTGTGTACTTCCGAGGGGGATGGATCTGTAGGTTGATGGATCCCCACCAGGTTACTTAAGGGTATATGTTGGCCACACATGGTGGCTCATGCCCATAATCCCAGCACTTTGGGAGGCCGAGGTGGATGGATCATTTGAGGCTAGGAGTTTGAGACCAGCCTGGCCAATATAGTGAAATCCTATCTCTACTAAAAATACAAAAATTAGCTGGGTGTGGTGGCACACACCTGTAATCCCAGCTACTCAGGAGGGTAAGGCAGAGAATAGCTTGAACCTGGGAGGTGGAGGCTGCAGTGAGCTGAGATTGCCCCACTGCACTCCAGTCTGGGCAACAGAGCAAGACTCCATCTCAAAAAAAAAAAAAAAAAAAAAAAAGGTATATATGTCAGAAGTGTGTGAACCAGAGCAACTCCATCTTAAATACGGCCTAGGTAAAATGAGGCTGAGACTTACTGTGTGCATTCCCAGATGGTTAAGGCATTCTAAATCACAGGATGAGACAGGAGGTCGGCACAAGATACAGGTCATAAAAGACCTTGCTGATAAAACAGGTTGCGGTAAAGAAGCTGGCCAAAATCAACCACAACCAAGATGGCGATGAGAGTGACCTCTGGTCGTCCTCACTGCTACACTCCCACCAGCGCCATGACAGTTTACAAATGCCACGGCAACATCAGGAAGTTACCCTATATGGTCTAAAAAGGGTAGGCCTGAATAGTCCACCCCTTGCTTAGCATATCATCAATAAATAACCATAAAAAACGGGCAGCCAGTGTCCCTCAGTGCTGCTCTGTCTATGGCGTAACTATTCTTTTATTCCTCTGCTGTCTTAATAAACTTGCTTTCACTTTACTCTATGGACTCGCCCTGAATTCCTTCTTGTGTGAGATCCAAGAACCCTCTCTTGGGGTCTGGATCGGGACCCCTTGTATGTCTGCTGCTTAAACCTCACCTCCCAGGCCATGGTGCCGAGCCAAGGGGCAGGTGTCGCGGAGAACCCAAACGTCCCAGAGCGGATCCAGGAACATAGCCAAGGCAAATAGTCTCATTGCATAAAATAGGCAAAGAGCCAGAAAATTAGCTTCAAAGCAGCATAGAGACGGGTAGCAGGGCGGGTCTCTGAAGTTGTCCTGCTGCTAGCTAGGAGTCCTTGTATGTAAATCCGCATACACTCACCTACTCGCCATGCTGGACTTGTCTGAGTTCTCAGGTCTCGGCTCTTTCCCAGCTTGGGAGAACGTTCTTCTAGACAATCGCGAGTTTTCTGCATGACAGGGTCTCATGCCACTTTCCAGTGGTTTGTGCTCTGATTGTCCTCTACTAAATCATGCACTTTGTATTTTAATTTTTTATTTTATTTTTATTTTTGTGGAGACGAGGCTTCGCCATGTTTCCCAGGCTGGTCTCAAACTCCCAGGCTCGAGCAATCTGCCTGCCTCAGCCTCCCAAAGTGTCAGGATTACAGGCATGAGCCACCATGCTCCACTGATCATGCACCGTTTTTTTTTTGGTTTTTGTTTGTTTGTTTGTTTGTTTGTTTGTTTTGAGACAAAGTCTTACTCTGTTGCTCAGGCTGGAATGCAGGGGCGTGATCATGGCTCACTGCGGCCTTAACCTCCTGGGCTCAAGCAATCCTCTCATCTCAGCCTCCAAAGTAGCTGGGACTACAGGCTTGCACCACCACACCCAGCTACTTTTTAAATTGTTTGTAGGCCAGGCACAGTGGCTCACACCTATAATCCCAGCACTTTGAGAGGCCGAGATGGGCGGATCACTTGAGGTCAGGAGTTCGAGACCAGCCTGGCCAACATGGTAAAACCCCGTCTCTACTAAAAATACACAAATTAGCTGGACGTGGTGGCACATGCCTGTTGTCCCTGCTACTCAGCTGAGACAGGAGAATCACTTGAACCTGGGAGGTGGGAGGTTGCAGTGAGCTGAGATTGTACCACTGCACTCCAGCCTAGGAGACAGAGCAAGACTCCGTCTGAAAAATAAATAAAAATAATTTTTTTTCGGAGGGTAAAGAAAGGATCTCCCTATATTACCCAGTCTGGTCTTGAACTGCTGGGCTCACAAGATCCTCCCGCCTTGGCCTCCTAAAGTGCTGAGATTACAGGCATGAGCCACTACACCCAGCCAGAGAATTGGAAAGCTGCACCGTGTGGAAAACTTACATATTTGGTGTCAAAACTGTTGTGGGCATAGAAAAAGAGTTTTTCTCTTTCAAGGTCATGCAACTTGTAAAGCAGAATTGGCATTGAACCCACAGTATTCTTGATTTGTGAGTGTGTTCATGTTATAATTCTAATTCTTTGAAGCAAAACATCATTGTGTATCATTTTTTAGCCTCCTAATACCCAGCCTGACCTGGGCGTGGTGGCAGGTGCCTGTAATCCCAGCTACCTGGGAGGCCAAGGCAATAGAATCACTTGAATCTGGGAGGTGGAAGTTGCAGTGAGCCAAGATCACGCCATGTACTCCAGCCTGGGCAATAACAGTGAAACTCCATTTAAAAAAAAATAAAAAAATTAGTTTGGGGCCAAGTGCAATGGCTTACACCTTTAATCTCAGTGTTTTGGGAGGCCAAGGTGGAAGAACTGCTTGAGGCCAGGAGTTCTAGGCCAGCCTGGGCAACATAAAGAAAATTAAAAGATTAGCCAGGTGTGGTGGTACATACCTGTAGTCCCAGCTGCTTAGAGAAGGTGAGGTGGGAGGATTGCCTGAGTCCAGAATTTCGTGGCTGCAATGAGCTATGATTGCACCACTGCACTCCAGTCTGGGCAACAGAGTGAGACCCTGTCTCAAACATTTTTTAAATTATTTAATTGAACCTAGCTGTGCATGTGTATTTTCAAAGTCAATAACAGGACTCCCAGCGGCAGGCCAAGGTCACTCCCAGATGCCTTGGGCTCCGGCTGTCTTCTTCCCCTCCAGTGTTGGAGAGGCAGCCTGGGATGCTTTCTGGGCACATACACCGTTGGTCACAGCCCAACCCTACCCACTCCAGGAGAGTCAAAAATATACAATGCTGGGCGCAGTGACTCACACCTGTAATCCCAGCACTTTGGGAGGCTGAGGCAGGTGGATCACCTGAGGTCAGGAATTCGAGACCAGCCTGACAACATGGTGAAACTCTGTCTCCACTAAAAATACAAAAACTTAGCCGGGCGTGGTGGCAGACACCTGTAGCCCCAGCTACTCAGGAGGCTGAGGCAGAAGAATTGCTTGAACCTGGGAGGTGGAGGTTGCAGTGAGCTGAGATCGCACCATTGCACTCCAGCCTGGGGCGGCAAGAGTGAGACTCCATCACAAAAACAAAAGAAAAAAAACAGAACACGCAAGACACAACAACCTTCGAAGAAAAAAACCTCATTTTATTTGGACTATTATTTGAGAACAGCAACTTTGTCTACACTCTTGATAAACCCACACAGTATCTCATGCATAGAAAAAAAAAAAAAAAGCTAGGGTCTTTTCTCCCCCTTATCCCCCCACCCCATCTTCCCTTCACCAAAATGTTGGGTGAGCCCAGATTTAAAGGCAGAACAGGCCCTTGGCCCCAAGACAGCATGGAGCAAACTGTCGCAAAGCAGGGAATCTCCTTAAAGTCATATCTTCACCAAAAGATTAAACTACCCAGACTGGCCCTTCACCCTGGTCCTCCACGTTCATTTCTTTAAAAAAAAAAAAAAAAAAAAAAACTGGCCGGGGGCGGTGGCTCAAGCCCATAATCCCAGCACTTTGGGAGGCCGAGACGGGCGGATCATGAAGTCAGGAGATCAAGACCATCCTGGCTAACACGGTGAAACCCCGTCTCTACTAAAAACTACAAAAAACTAGCTGGGTGAGGTGGCGGGCGCCTGTAGTCCCAGCTACTCGGGAGGCTGAGGCAGGAGAATGGCATAAACCCGGGAGGCGGAGCTTGCAGTGAGCTGAGATCCGGCCACTGCACTCCAGCCTGGGCGACAAAGCGAGACTCCGTCTCAAAAAAAAAAAAACAAAACAAACAAAAAAAAACACTATGCTTTACTTATTTTTTTTTTTCAACATAAAAGTTTGAGTAGGCTGGGTGCGGTGGCTCACACCTGTAATCCCAGCATTTTGGGAGGCTGAGGCAGGTGGATCACTTGAGGCCAGGAGTTTGAGACCAGCCTGGCCAACATGGTGAAACCTCATCTCTACTAAAAATACAAAAATTAGTTGGGCGTGGTTGCACACACCTGTAGTCCCAGGTACTTGGGAGGCTGAGGCAGAGAATCACTTGAACCTGGGAGGCGGAGGTTGCAGTGAGCCGAGATTGTGCCACTGCACTCCAGCCTGGGTGACAGAGCGAGACTCTGTCTCAGGAAGAAAAAAAAAAAAAGCATCAGAACCCGGTCAGGAGGAGAAGGGCAAAGAGTTGCCACTGCTCTCCTTCTGGGATCTTCTCACCCAGCTCCAGAAAGGCAAGGGACTTTGGAGGCTTGGAGCCATTGCTCAGCTCCCGGGGACCACATCACCTGCTCCCTCGAGTTTTTCATAGAAGAGACACATCCCTGGAGAGTGTTGCTAAGAAACAGGAAAATTAGCTCTTCCCCCCATCACTGTGGCTTCCCCAGACCCCGAGCAGCCCGCCAAGCAGCCCAGGCCCAGACTCAGGGCTGGAGGGCTGGGCGGTGATTAGTGGGTGGTTTGGTTGCCAGGATATCTCTGGACGGGGGCCTTGACACCCACTGCCCTGGCCCTAGGGGAAGCCTTCTTCTGCTTGGCATCCAGGTTCTTCATGTACCTCTGGACCCACGTCTGCTTGGGGTCGCCACAGAACTGCTGGCCCTTCTTGGTGGTGAAGCTGTGGAAGAAAGGGACAGGGGATTAGCTGAGGTCGACAGGGACCTTGGGCCACTCAACTTCATGGTGGGGAGGATGTGGACGCCCAGAGACAGTAAGGCCTCCTCGCAAGTTGCTGAGATGATGCCATCTTCATTTTTTGACACGGTCTCACTCTGTCGTCCAGGCTGCAATGCAGTGGCGATCACAGCTCACTGCAGCCTCAACTTCCCAGGCTCAAGCGGTCCTCCCACCTTAGTCTCCTGAGTAGCTGGGACTACAGGAACATGCCACCATGCCCAGCTTTTTTTTTTTTTGCAGAAACGGAGTCTCATTATATTGCCTAGGCTGGTCTTAAACTCCTGGCCTTAAGCAACCCTCCTAGGTCAGCCTCCCAAAGCACTGAGATTACAGACGTGAGCCACTGCACCTGGCCTTATCATTGTATTTCTACTTCATGCCTCTGTTTACAAAATGAGTTCACAGTTACTACCTATGAAGCTATTTAGAGGACAGACACATGTCGACCCATATGACCTTGAGCAAGTCACCTTCCTGAGTCTCAGTTGTCCTCTGTAAATGGGAACAACCATCCCTACACCATAGAATTGTTGAGAGAATTAGATAAGACATTGTCCTGTGCCCCCGAATGGTGCCTCACTGTATATTTGGTGCTCAGTAGATATTGAATCTAAATCCTTCTCCTGGTGGCTCACGCCTGTAATCCCAACACTTTGGAAGGTCGAGATGGGCAGATCACTTGAGGTCAGAAGTTCAAGACCAGCCTGGTCAACATGGTGAAACCCTGTCTCTACTAAAAATACAAAACTTAGCCAGGCGTGGCGGTGCGCACCTGTAATTCCAGCTACTCGGGAGGCTGAGGCATGAGAATTGCTTGAACCTGGGAGGTGGAGGTTGCAGTGAGCCAAGATCGCACCACTGCACTCCAGCCTGGGTGACAGAGCGAGACTCCGTCTCAAAAAAAAAAAAAAAAAAAAAAAACAAATCCTTCTGGCTGGGTGTGGTGGTTCATGGCTGTAATCCTAGCACTTTGGGAGGCTGAGATGGGAGGATCACTTGAGCCCAGGAGGTTGAGGCTGCAATACAAAGAGCTATGATCATGCCACTGCACTTCAGCTTGGGTGACAGAGCAAGACCCTATCTCCCCCCGCCCAAAAAAAGGAAATAAAAGAAATTAAAAAATAAATATATCCTCCTTCTAGTTTTATGGGCAAGGAAGTTGAGGACCAGAGAGGGGAGGTGACTTCCCCAGGGATGCACAGAGCCAGGGCCGGCTGACCTTGCTTCTCAGGGACACTGGAGTTGTACCTGCCCCAGCCCCTCTCCTGCCACATGCCCATGAAGGATACCCACATCACTCCCACATTGAGGCACATGCTCCTGTTGGACAACTGGTAGCTGACCACTCGGTTCTCAGGAATCCTCTTGGAAAGAAATGACATGCAGCAGGAAGAGGGGATGACCACAGAGCCTAGACGAGGAGAGAGAGAGAAGCCACGTCTTTTCCCAGCCTCCCCTCGGCTCTGGGCCTCAGAGCTGGAGCTTGAACCCTGCACCAAACACCACCAGTCCATTCACTGGGCTACCCTTTCCCCAGCGCTTTCCTCCAGCCCCAGGCTGGTCAGTCCTGCACCCTCCACTGTGCCATCCCAGCCATGCCCTTGGAACTGCATCCTGCCTGAGGTCTTACCCGTAGGGATGATGTGGTGGGCACAGACACCAAGGAACAGAAGGCTGGTTACGATGGTCATTGGGCCTGCCATGTCCCAGAGAGCAGAAGCACCAGCTCGGGGCTCAAAGCCAACGTGCGGGAGGAAAGGACCTGGGGATAAAAAGCTTGGGTCCTTGCAGAGCACCCCAAACTCCCTCCCTCTGCCTTTTATGGGGCAACTAGAAGGAAACACGCCCCCAAGCCTCCTCCACGCTTCCTTGAAAATCCTGAGGCCTGTGGTCTGGAAAGAGGAAGTTGTTGTCCCGTTGTTGCCCAGCTGAGTCAAGGGTTATTTTGGGCTCCGAACAAAAGGGCTGGGGGAGGGGGCATCACTCCACCTCCGCCAAGTTCAAAGGTGTTGGTTGCATTTTCAGAAGGCCCATGGGACCCTACCTGTGTTGGCTATACCCTGTGGGATCCTGGATAAATCACTCACCTCCCTGAGCCTCAGTTAGTTCAGCTGAAAATGGGCAGAGTCATCCCTATCTTCTCCCTTCCATTCATTCATGCTTTCATTCATTCACCCGATTCTTTGTTAGGCATGTGCTCTGTGCCAGGCACTGGGAGGATTCTAATGGGGAGACAGATTTGTGATCAAGGGTGTGTAACAGTCAATGAGAGGTCAGCTGGGCTCGGTGTCTCATGCTTATAATCCCTGCACTTTGGAAGGTTCAAGTGGGAGCATCATTTGAGGCCAGGAGTTTGAGACCAGCCTGGGCAACATAGCAAGACCCTGTCTCTACAAAAAATAAAAAAATTAGCCAGGCGTGGTGGTGCAGGCTTGTAGTCTCACTCTTGGGGAGGCTGAGGTGGAAGTGTGTAGCAGGACGAGCTGCAGACAAAACTTCTGACACCGAGTTAAAGAAGGAAGGGGTTTATTCGGCCAGGGGCATTGGCAAGACTCCTGTCTCAAGTGCTGAGCCCCCCGAGTGAGCAATTCCTGTCCCTTTTAAGGGCTCACAACTCTAAGGGGGTGCACGTGAGAGGGTCATGATTGATTGAGCAAGCAGGGGGTACATGACTGGGGGCTGCATGTGCCGGTAATTAGATCGGAACAAAACAAGATAGAGATTTTCACAGTGCATTTCTATACAATGTCTGTAATCTATAGATAACACAACCGATGAGGTCAGGGGTCTATCTTTAACTACCAGCCCAGGGTGCCGCGCCAGGCTGGCTGCCTGTGGATTTCTTTTTTTTTTTTTTTTTTTTTGAGACGGAGTCTCGCTCTGTCGCCCGGGCTGGAGTGCAGTGGCCGGATCTCAGCTCACTGCAAGCTCCGCCTCCCGGGTTCACGCCATTCTCCTGCCTCAGCCTCCCGAGTAGCTGGGATTACAGGCATGCACCACTACACCCCTGCCTCAGCCTCCCGAGTAGCTGGGACCACAGGCGCCCGCCACCTCGCCCGGCTAGTTTTTTTTTTGTATTTTTTTTTTTTTAGTAGAGACGGGGTTTCACCGTGTTCGCCAGGACGGTCTCGATCTCCTGACCTCGTGATCTGCCCGTCTCGGCCTCCCAAAGTGCTGGGATTACAGGCTTGAGCCACCGCGCCCGGCTGCCTGTGGATTTCATTTCTCCCTTTTAGTTTTTACTTCTTCTTTCATTGGAGGCAGAAATTGGGCATAAGACGATATGAGGGGTGGTCTCCTCCCTTAGAAGGATGAATTGAACCCAGGAGTTCAAGGCTGCAGTGAGCTGTGATCACACCACGGCCTCTCCAGGCTGGGCAACAGAGCAACACCCTGTCTTACAATCAATCAATCAATCAATCAATCAATCCATCCATGACAGGTCCTGACAGAGCAAAGCAGATGCTCTCAGGGCCGCTTTCCATCAGCTCTTGGTGGCCTTGAAGTCCCAACAGCCATCACCTGCACCTTCAAGTTGCCGGAGCCACTTAGTCACCAAGGCTCTAGGGAAGTAGGAAGTGCCTGGAAAAGCACATCCTCTGGGGTGGCCAGTGCCTGCCAGAGGGATGCTGACTCCAGGTCCAGCATGACCAACCCTGTTTCCTGAGTTTCCAGCTGGGTCAAATCTGTAACCCTCTGTGCAGCAGGACTTTGCTTGGCCCCTTCCCGCTGACCAGATTCCCAGTCCCCTGATGGTCTCTCGTGGAAGTATCTCTTAATAAACCACAAGCCCATGAATCCCCGTCTCAGGGTCTGCTTTGGGGACCTGGACCCAGAACAAGGTGTGTGGGGGTAGGTGGGAGGAAGGGAAACACAGGAGAAACAAGGGGCCAGGAGCCGTGGCTCATGCCTGTAATCCCAGCACTTTAGGAGGCTGAGGCGGGAGGATTGATTGAGGCCAGGAGTTTGGGACCAGCCGGGGCAACATAGCAAGACCCTGTCTCCAAAAGAAATAGAAAAATTAGCCAGGCATGGTGGTATGTGCCTGTAGTCCTAGCTACTGGGGAGGCTGAGGCAGGAGGATCGCTTGAGCCTAGGAGTTTGAGGCTACAGTGAGCTGGGAGAGCACCACTGAACTCCAGCCTGGGTGACAGAGCATAACCCTGTCTCTTAAAAAAGAACAAGGCTGGGTGAGGAGGTGGCTCACGTCTGTCATTCCAGCACTTTGGGAGGCTAAGGTGGGAGGATTATTTGAGCCCAGGAGTTCAAGACCAGCCTGCTCAACATAGCAAAACCGCATCTTTACCAAAAAAAAAAAAAAGAAAAAGAAAACAAACAAAACCACAGGAAAACTGGCCAATTGTGCCAGGAGGAAAGTCCAGGAGAGACTCATAGCTAACAGCTGCACTGAGGTTGGAGGACGGACGGCACCGGCAACTATGCGGAAGCCTGTAAGTCATAACGTCCAGTTCAGTTGTAAGGGACTGAGGCAACTTTGTGAGACAGAGTGGGACATGGCTCCCACCTCACTCCACCCCCGCATTCCAGGATCCCAGGTCAGGACCTCATGCTCAGAGACTCCCTTCACCCACTACTCCCATGTGGCTGACTGCCACGGTTACTACTTGAGACCCTTTCTCCAGCAGTTACTACTGTTACCGCTTGAAACCGTCATTACAAGACTGAACAAAGGGACCAATGTAGAAATGATAACAAAAAAACAAAAGAAACTGTTTTAAGGAAAGGCAGCAAGGAGAGAAGAGATCTCCCTGATGCTACTGAGCAAAAGCGGCCCCTGAGCCTCTACAGCCCTTTATATTTATTGGGTAACAAGAGCAAGGAGGAGGAGGTAACGACTGGTCAGCTGCTTAATTGATCAGAGGTTCATCTTGTTACTGATAGGATTCAATTATTCCTAATCGTAAGAAACATTTGTGCGGTCTCCCACACTCCTATACCCAAACCCTCCCTATGGTTCTCTCCATTCCCCTTCTCCAACTTCCCGGTCTGGGATTCCAGGGCACACACCAATGCAGGACCCACACAGTGGCATAGTGGGAGCACAGTGGTACTCATCACTTGGTGGCCAGCTGGGTGTCTGTGTCTCAGTCTCATGCTTGACCTGAACACCTTGAGATCAATTTCTATACCCACCAAGTGCCAAGCAAATCACCTGTGCCATGGCCAGCGTTTGCAGAATGGATAGATGATGGATCAACTCTGAGACAGTTTCCTCTGGACCAGAGACTCCTCTGTGGGTTTTGCTCACAGAGCACAACTGGGGTCAGTGTATACACAGGGAAAGTCAGCAGGCGGGTCCCCTGATGGAGGCAAGACTGAAGTCAGGGAGCCCGGCAGCACCTGATCTCACTGCCTGTGCTTACAGAGTGAAAAGTGCCGAGAGCCCAACTCAGGGCTTCATTAGCCTGGCACCTGTCCCTATCTGCCTTTACCTTCCCATCAGCTGACAATAATTATCCTCTGCTGGCAGAGCAATTAGAGAGGATTAAGTGAGAAAAGTCGTGGGAAGGCCCTTTATACATGCAGAGGCTTTTGTCTTTAAAAATGTATTTATTTATGTATTTATTTATTTTTATTATTATTTTTTATACAAAGTCTATCTCTGTTGCCCAGGCTGGAGTGCAGTGGCGCGATCTTGGCTCACTGCAACCTCCACCTCCGAGGTTCAAGTGATTCTCCCGCCTCAGCCACCCCAGTAGCTGAGATTACAGGCACCCGCCATCATGTCTTGCGAATTGTGTTTTTAGTAGAGACGGGGTTTCACCATGTTGGTCAGGCTGGTCTCGAACTCCTGACCTCAGGTAATCCACCCACCTCAGCCTCCCAAAGTTCTGGGATTACAGGCGTGAGCCACTGTGCCTGGCAAAAAAAAAAAAAAATTCTTTTGAGACAAGGTCACACTCTGTTGCCCAGGCTGGAGTGCAGTGGCGTGATCATAGCTCATTGCAGCTTCCAACTCCTGGGCTCAAGCAATCCTCCTGCCTCAGCCTCCTGAGTAGCTGGGACTACAGGTGCAGGCCACCACACCCAGCTAAGTTTTTAAATTTTTGGTAGAGACGGGGTACCCCTATGTTGCCCAGGCTGGTCTCCAACTCCTGGATTCAAGCAATCCTCCCACCTTGACCTCCCAAAGCTCTGGGATTACAGGCATGAGCCATTGTGCCCAGCTCATCATGACGTCTTATGACAGCTCTTCTAATTTTTGCTCCCCAGTGATTCAGAGGGGATGCCGGGTGACTGCCTGAATTTTCTCATTCAGTGGGTGCTGGGAGTGTGGTGTGTGGAGGGGAGGAAGTGAGGGAGAAAGGATGGCCAGGCAGAGGCAGCACTCAGGAGAAGAGTGAGTATGGGGTAAACAGGGCGGGGATGCCCACTATCCCCATGTTGCAACAAGAGTGGGCGAGCAGAAGGTCATTGAGTGGGACTGTGTGGGGTGGGGTGCTTGAGTCCAGATTAGTAATACCCTTTAAGGGCTTTTCCAAGGCCTTAAAAAACACAAAATACCCAATCTTTTTTTTTTTTTTTTCCGCTTTGTCACCCAGGCTGCAGTGGAATGGCCTGATCTCGGCTCACTGCAGCCTCAGCCTCCTGGGTTCAAGCAATTCTCGTGCCTCAGTCTTCTGAGTAGCTGGGATTATAGGCACCTGCCACCATGCCCGGCTAATTTTTGTATTTTTAGTAGAGATGGAATTTCACCATGTTGGCCAGGCTGATCTTAAACTCCGGACCTCAAGTGTTTCATCCGCCTCGGCCTCCCAAAGCGCTGGGATTACAGGCA